ATATATACATTTGAAGGTTTGATTGCACATATATATATATATTTTTTTGATTTTTTTTTTTTTTTAACTTGACTGTATACAGTTATTATGATCACTCTGTGACAGGTTTTTCTAGACTTGAAATTTCGAAAAACATTTTTTTTTTATGATACACCCTATTATTTATATCGATTATAATTATTGTGAAAGAAGTTTCCGTACTTTAGACTTGAACTTAATTTTGAATAAAACTGCCTAAGCTTGAACATTTATTAGATAATTTGGGGTGTTCCGAGATGATTAAAATGTATCTATTTTAAAGTTTAGTCATATGAATACTTTTATTTTTTATTCTTCGATAATGTAAACTCGGGACCTGAATTGTTTGCGGAAAGTTTTTATTCCTAATGATTAACCCTTGTAACAGACTGATATATTTCACATACTACCTTAAAATGATATTGAGATAGGGGAAATAATAATCATAATTGATAGCATTTATTCTAAGTCTTAGTAACAACGTTTTGTTGTTCACTCTTAAAGAAATGAAAGTACAACAGACTTAAGTGTCGTATATCTGATAAACCAAATAAAGATGATAATAAAATCGATAACATGTTGATTAATCTTAGAAATGGAACAAAAACAAATGTTTTCACTTTAACTCTTAATTTCGGAAAAAATTTAACCTTTTACTTTCCTTACTCACGAAAAAATATTACAATCGAATATTTGTGAAGAAAAAAGAATTTTCGTCCGAATTTTTTTTTCCCCTAACAAATTTAAAAGTAGTATAATTATCACAAAAATAAGCATTTCAACTAAGGTTATATTGTGAGAAAAGCCACAAAATAATTAAATAAAAATTAAAAATGAAAGAAAAAGCGATTGATTATTATTGTTGTGCAATCAAACCTTCAAATGTAATTTGAGTACATTTTAATAACAATTTATAATTTCAATAATAATTTTAAACTATTACTAGTTTCCGCAGATGTATGATATTGATTCACACTGAACAACACAAACACACACTGATGATAAAAAGTGACGTTTAATTTTATATAAACATGATAAAATGCACGAATTTTTTGGAATTTGAGCGTCATTAACTCTTTGCACTCCAAGTACTTAAATGCTGTTTGAACTAATGTAAGCACTAAATCAATTAAAATACATACAGCATTTATTTATAATTTTTAAAATCACGTGGTTGTTAATTATAAACGCATAAATTATTAATTTTAAAGTGGTTACTGTAAATGGCGCCTCAGAAGTGGACACCGGAGTGCAGAAGGTTCTGCGTGTAAATTTGCCATTTTAAGGACAATCTGCAGCGTTTCTCCCTAAAATAAGATAAATATATGCTTTTTTTGAAAAATACAATCAAAGTAATATAAGGTATAAAATTTATATTTCATTATATTAATATATTTATTTTTTTAATCATTTAAATCATTTTGTTCCTTAAGTTTTAATATAAATTGAAGGAGGAGGAAGAATGTAATTCGGAAAGCTATAAAATTTACTATTCGAACATTATAGCTTATTTAATGATCTACCAACATGCAGAGATTATCAAGCTTTATGGCTAACGTAGTAATAGATTTTGATTATTATATAATTAGAAATGATCGGGAAAAAACATTGACTAGTAAGGTACAATATTTTTCTAACATCATAAGCACTATAATTTTAAACGGTGTAACGGACTTTTACTGAAAGTCGGCATAACAATTGACCAAGGGCGTCGTAGGTGGGAGGGAGGACGGTGGGTGGGGAGACGGAATTAATTAAAGATTTAAATTCCTTAAGATTGAAAACAAGAAAGAGATAAAATGTATTTTAGCAGGTATTTAGAAATTTTTTTTCTCATGTGTCAAATTAGAGAACTAATTAGGCTATTTAATTCAACATCGTCCTTCAAAAAAAATTGGCCCAGCGACGCCCCTGTTATTGACTAATTGCAAATCAAGTTTAGAAAGTTTCGTTACAGATGATTATAATAGAAGAATACAATTATATTATTTCTAACAAATATTACAAATATGCAACACGGATTAAATAAATTGTAACAATACGTGAGGGCTGAATATATTAAAAAAAGAAGGAAAAAAGAAACGAAATCAGGTACCGATCAAGACAAATTCAGGCCCAAGGCCCACCAAATTTTCCGGGTCCTTTACAAAATACTTTGAAATTAAATTACTGAAGAGTAGTCCTAACAATAAAAAAGAATCTATAGCATGATTCAAGAGAAACATTCTAAGAAATTTTAAAAGCAGACAATTGAAGATTATTTTTTGAAGATAAAGTTTCTGTTAAGACAACGAAACAATAATATGGCAAAATTAAAATAGTTTGGTGACCACAAGCAATTAATATTAGTGATTTTTGCTAAAAGTCACTGATCAGCTGAATTATTTTTAGTACAAGCTGTAGTTCTTTTTATTTAGTACTGAAACCAACACAAAGCTAGTCCACCTTTCATTAGATTTTACTAATAAGTTCAGAAGATATTAAGGTTATTAATTATAATTTTTATCAAAAAATACATTTCTGTACATAAGAAATGTCCAAAAGAGCTAAAATTATATCAACTCATAGGAGATTAGAAACGCATTTAAATAATAATTTATTTAGATATAACACATTTTAAAAAACTGAAATTCATATTCAATGAAGAAGTTATACTCAAAATATTGATACATTTAAAAGCATTCGCCACTGTGGACTTTTTAAAAAGGTTTTTTTTTTCTTCATTAAATAATTTTGTGAGAATTTCAAAATCCTGTTCTGTAGTGATATCTGATTCAACTAATAACATAATTAGTTCTTACTGTTTTAAAATGTGATCTTAAATATTACTAAAAATACTTAAGTGCTTTTGTGGGGAAAGGCAGAATATGAAAAAGAAACTAAGTTATCTTAAAATAAAAGTATTTAAAGACGTTTGGTGACCACAAACAGGAACTAACATGTACTTTTGTTGTGTCAATGGGCTGTAATTATTCATTAGTTAAGCGAACACAAAGCTAGTCCAACTTACTTTCGAATTTGATTAGTGCAATGTTTATGAGAGTTAGGTCATATTATGATGTAAATAAAATTTGAAATTTAAGAAAAAGTAAACTTTAAACTGTAAACTGAAAAGTAAACTTTAAACTGTTTCTTTCTGTATTTAAAAGAAATAGTAATATTGAGTACTTTTTACTATTTTTTGAGGCCCCTAGACCGATGCCTATTGGGCCTAGATGCTAATCAGGCCCCGAACGAAATTATATGACTATAGTTCTTTCACCAGGAGTTGACGCTTGGTTCCACCTCCACGGACGCAGAGTTCATTTCAGCGCGGGAATGCAGAGAAACATCTCCGCGCTTGAAATTGGGACAACCCTTAATGCGCGCCAAACACAAACAGTAACATCTTTTTCACTCACTTACTTCGCTTTATCATCTGCTATTATACCTTTTGTTTCTCTAGCTAATTAAATATATTTTAAAATTGCAATTTCACAGGGAAAACTGCTGTTTTCCCTGCAAAATGTCTCAAAAAGGACAAACTATTCACTCAAAAGAGAGAAATATCATAAAAAATGGCGGGAAATATCATCAAACATATGAAATATTTAACGTTAAAAAAATGTATTTTAAGTTTGTGAAATAAATATTTTCATACTTCATAATAATTTATACTTCATACTATCCCTAAATAGCAACCTTGTTCAGGATTACTCACAACCTTCTCCCAAAAATAGCGAAATAGTATTGTCGCATACCACGTGATGAAGGCGGAGCCAATATTCTTTGTTATAGCAACGTCATATCATATAAATGCTGGAAATTTTCTTGTTTCTAACGTTTGAAATTTGATTCAATTGGCTAGTACAGCAGGATGTGTGCATAATCTATCAGGTTTTCAGAAAAACGATCTGTAGATCACATGACTTTCAACCATTCCTCTTCGGTCATACGGGGCTCAGTCAGTTTTCTCAGCTGTCATCCTCCCATCAAGGACTAACAAAAACAAATCAACACGTGCTTATTTATCAGAATTATTATCGTTCAATGCTATATTAGATGAATTTTGCTCGATCGGTGTTAACTTATATCAAGTGTTCGAACTTTCTTGGGATTTAAACTGTTAATATTTTCGTGTTTTTGATTGAATTTTGAAATTGTTATTCACTGAAGTAAGTATTAACGTAATTTTTGTCAGTTATCTTTTCATAATTCTGATATAGCTTATTTTTATGTTGCTTCGTTTTGATTTACAATTGTTTTCATAAATTTTTATGATTGTTTTTATGCCTATGTTCATTCAGTCATAGACTTTTTCATAATTTCGATATAGCTTATTTTATGTTGCCGCGTTTTGATTTATTTTATGACAGTTTTTATGTCTATGCTCATTTCAGTCACTATTGTTATGAATCTTTAAAACAGATGGGGATTCAGCTGTAATGTTAAATATATGTATTCCGAAAGAAACTTAACTCTCTATTGTTTATTCCATTTGTTTCTTTAAAATCTCATCTTATTATTGTGTAAATTGTTAGTTATCGATTTCGTTACCATGAGATATATAGACTTGTTTGGAATAATACTGCTATTTTTAGACCTTGACCTCCTCACCTTAAATTTTTAAAAATGATAAGTAACTAATTCGTCAAATAATCTTATCTGTTTCTTATTTACATTCAGATGAAACATTAAATACTTAAGTGTGGTTTGTAAAGCTGATAAACTTTTCTGATAAGATTGCTAATAAAAACTGGTTTTCCCATTGAATTGATTACAGATATCATTTGTTTAAACTGCAACATTGGAGAACTTAAGCAAGTTGGTATTTATTTTCCTTAAAATTACAGAATAGTCTCGATATCTCAAAATTGAAGGGACACTAAAAAAAATTTCGAGATAGTGAGTTTTTGAGATAACAAATTCAGATCTAGATATGTTCTAAAAAGTAGAAAAATATATTCTAAAATAGTACTCTAAAAAGAAGAGTGATAAAACATAAGAATATCTAGTAATAACTATATATGTAATGATAGTTGACTAAATACAATAATGATAATTTTTAAAAGTCAGATAAAACTAATTATTAAACAGAGAAAAATTGGTTTACAATAGACTTGCATTGCGATTTTTCCAAAAACCTTTATTTTCTGTTTTGAAAAATATGCGACATTAAAAGGTTTTGAGAAGAAACTCTTCGATATAGGAATTCAAATTAACATTAGATGGATATGTAATGCCAAAGGAAAAAATATTTTTTTGACTTCGCAAAGTTTTTGAGAAGTTCGAGACATCAAGAGTATACTGTATTTTTAAATGATTTATTCATTTTATTTATTTTTCAGTTGACTATTGAATACATGAGTTTATCTACAAATAAATCGATTTTGGAGTGTTTGTAAATTTGATTTATCTTAAATTCTGTGATTTGCCTAACACCGTTAAATCAATTAAATTAAATAATATTAAAAAATTTTTTTTGAGAAAACTTGTTGCATAGTTACTTTTGAGTTATTTCCTATCATCACCGTAAATGTTCTATTTCAGTCAATTCTAAGTTTTGATGATTTTTGTTCTCATTAACTTAAAAAAAACCTGATTATGCCTAAAAACTAAGCATTTTAAGTGAAATTTTTTTAAGTATTTGTAAAATTAAATTTACTTTTATTTACGGGCATTTATTTTTTTAAAGAAAACTCATAAAATGGTTTGAAATTTTTTTTTTTTTTTTTTTTAATTTTAGCCTTAATAAGTGTCACAATAATAACAGCTGTACAATTATAAATAATTTTTCTTAAAATTTTTTGGCTTTAAGAAAGTTTCATCAAACTAAAACTATAAACAACTGATAAATAATAATTATGAAACTGAAATAAATCTTTCTGTTTTGATTAGACCAAATTTTTTATTTTATTTTTGAAAACATTTAAAACTATTAAATATTTTTAAATGCTTGGTTTTAAAAATTAAATTAACTAAGTTTTACTTGAAAATTCATTTGATATCTGCTTTAATTTTACTTCTTACACCAAAATTTAGAAAAATTAATGAGTAGAATTAAATTAAGCTTGCATGAAAATTAGTTTGATATTTATTTTAATTTTAATTCTCACACAAAACACTAATAAATATTAATGAACAAAATTTTAAGTTCCTTTATTGTTGTAATTTAGTTTTTTCTGCAAAAAAAAAAAAAAAAAAAAAAAAAAAAAAAAAAAAAAANAAAAAAAAATGCTATTTAACTAAAATTATGGGAAGATTTCCGTATCATGCATCATGATCGCAAAAGTTTCTAAGTCTTGGCAACTTCTGGCTTGAAGAGTATAACATTAGTCAAACCTCTGCATGTTTATTTATTTATTTTAAATTGAAATTTTTTGCTTCTTGGCAGTTGTAGTTGGAGGGACAGATAAGGATAGGGAATTACCCCTAAAATTATCTATGAATGAGTGTTCAAACTAGTTTAATTTGCTTTGCTCTGATGCATTAGAAATTTTTTTTACTAAAAATAAAATTAAATTACCTAGAGATTAATTCTTCAAGAAGGATTATTGAAATAATATTCTAATTTAGAGGAGAAATAAATTCTTTAAATAATTTTTGTTTATTGTTAAATATCACATTCTTTTTTCAAAGTTTAGAGGAAGTATAATCCTTATTTAAACTGTTTTTAACTTTTCAGAATGAAGCATATTTGTATATTTTTACTCGTAGTAGTAGCAGCTTCTTCTGCTAGAGAAGTAATTCCTAGTCATGTTCATCCTCTGTCAGACAAAATGATTGAGTACGTCAATTACATGAATTCCACATGGAAGGTTTGTATATTGTGTTAATTTTAACTTCTGCAGTTTCTATTTCATTATTAAAAATTTTCTGTAAGCTGAGCATTAATCAAACAAGTAAAATAAACTCCAATTTATACATACTCAAATATGTGTACAGGCTAAGTGATGCATATTCAAATAAATGTACAGGGTAATTGATGCATATTCAAATAAATGTGCAGGATAATTGACACATCCTCAAATACAAGTTTTTTAATGATCACCCCTTTAAGTATAATTTTAGAATCTTTTTCAAAATTGAAGCTGAAAAATACAGTGTAATTGAAGTTATAAAATACAAAATTTTATTAAAAAATGGAATAATGAAGAATATCCTGCAAAATCTAAAGAATCACTACTGATAAAAGTAGGTCTAAAAACTATAAAGTCTGTTTCATTGCCATAGAAAACATTGAAAGGTGGTTATTAGAAGCTCCTCCAAGTTTTATAAGGCAATCAGACTGGTTTTGATGTTTTACATCTCATCTTCCTGGGAGATTTAACAGATTTAGATAATATTTATGTTGTTGTTGACGTATGCCTGTTTAGGCAGAGGGGGTGCGATTGTTCTTGTTTTCTAGAGGCGCCACCTATGGCCAATAATTCGACTTCTGCCACTCCATACGTCCTTCCCGTTTATAGGGCGGACACATTCATTCATCCACAGATCGACCTGAATCAGAGAACGATAGATCTCCAATCCAGTACCCCCAGAGGTATTGATTTGTTATGGGAACATGGAGGACTTTTGTGACTCGACAGATTTAACGTGCATCAGTCACTTTACTACACGGAGAGTCTTCGGACGGCGGGGTTCAAACCCACGAACTCTCGGACATGGGCCCAGCGCCCTACCGACCAGGCTATCCCGGCCAATATTTATGTTACTTTGTTTAAATAGTATTAATTTGCGACCATCTAATGTGAATATTTTTTTGATTTCATAAATTGAAGAAAAAAAGGGATTGTAGTTATTACCACTTTGTATAGTTTATTTATCACAAATAATTTGATGATGGATTTTCGTTTTTGAAATATTCGCCGCATTGTTCTAATGTATAAGTCGAGCCCAGATTTTAGATTTTGACTGAGAAAATTTCGGCCATGTTGGGTGTATAAATCGACCCCTGAAAAAAACTAAATATGAAAATTTCTGTTTATTGTGATTTTCTTTTTAAAGAGTGTGAAATTTGCTATTCTTTTAGATAGATATTCTTTTAGATTAATAAAGACAAACTTTTAAGAGACTCAGCAGATGAAGATAAAGTAGAATCTATGGCCGACTGGGTTCTATACGACCTCAATCGGATATATAAACAAATATTGTTTAAATTAGAAAAGCATACAAAAAATTATTAAGTCTACAAAAAAATGTTGATGTTACAAATATTTTTATGTTAAAAATATTCATGTTATAAGATAAATATATTAATAAAATATTCATACATAAACTTATTGTTTATTACTAATTTTCCTAAATTCTTATAAGAAATAATTAATTATAAAGTGCTCAATTCCTCCTTAAATGAATAGAAATGATTCTATTCATTTAAGGAGGTCCATTGGTTTGAATATAGTTCTGTAATGAATAAATCTATAAAGTATTATTCATTACAGAACTGTCTTCAAATCACTCGTCATTCTAAGACAATAATTTAATAAAATGAAAACTTTAAAATATAATTTACTAAATTTCTTGTTTTCTTTATTTTTATGAATGCTTCATGTGCAGTACTATATAAGTTGATGCTGTTAAATTTCGCATTTCTTTTTTCATCATCATCAATATTTATCTGGGCGCCTGGGGCCGTTAGCGGCCTTTTTCCCATTTGTCTTGAATTGTGATCTTTAGGGTGGTTCTTTCTGGTAATTGGAATGCAATTGATGTAAAAGGAATTTAAATATTTTGAATTTTAGATAAAATTACGTCACTACAAAAGTAAGCTGCCATCGGCCTGCGGTTTATATCTTCTTTTAAGTTTTCAAAAGTAAAAATTTCGTTGAATCCTGCGGTGTCACAATTTATGGTTTTTTCAAAAAATCTGAAATTTAGCTTTGCAATGTGATGATTTAAAGAATCTATGTTGAGGTCGCGATATGTGTTTTTATTTCTGATAAACCATCTTGCTTTTGTTATTTCTGATATTCCTCAGGAAAATAAACAAGATACATTTGCATCTTGTTTATTTTCCTGAGGATTTTGTTCTGGCATATTTTGAGTTTTTTAAGGAGTGATGTGGAGATGTTGCACCAAGCTGGAGATGCATAAGTCAGGATGGGACGGATCATTGAGATGTAGAGTGTACGTTTAAGTCTAAGTTCCATTTTGGGGTTCTGAAGAAGGATTTGTAATCTGCGGCAGGCTGCTTGTGCTTTGTTGATAACTGTTTTGATGTGATCTTTCCAATTAAATTTGCTGTTAATGACCAGACCAAGGTATTTTGCGCTTTTGACCATGGGAATAATTTCATTAAAGAGAACAATTTGATTTTTGGGGAGGATGGTTTTTCTTTTATGCTGAATGATTAGTAGTTTTGATTTTTGTCCATTTACTTCGATTTCCTTCAGTTTTCCTTGGAGTTTTTGTAGGGCAATGTTGGGGTTACATGTTATTGATAACATGTTAATCATATTGTTCACATTGTTTACATGTTATGGATAAAATTCTTTATTTTTAGGCTGGTAGAAACTTTGAAGGAGTTAGTCTGAAATACATTAAGGGATTACTAGGTGTTCACAAAGATAACCACAAGTACCGTTTACCTTCAATTAGACATACAGTTCCGACAAATCTACCTGATTCTTTTGATGCTCGTCAACAGTGGCCAAATTGTCCTTCAATCAGTGAAATCAGAGATCAGGCATCTTGTGGTTCATGTTGGGTAAATAGATTTTGATTTTGTTTTAAGCTTTCTCTTTTCTAGAAAAAAAAACTTATTTTTAGAATTACCAAAGAAAGTATGTAAGTTTGCAGTTATTTATTTACGTTAACTGTATCGATGATTTTTAGTAAATTAATGAATTTTAAAATATAGCTTTAACTATAAATACAGGGGTCTGTCCAGATATTTTGTGAAAGGTCCGTTTTTGTAAAATTGTGAAAAATTACTCGTTATTTGAGAATATGAAATAAACGTTAAGTCCCATTCTTTCAACCAGGGTCCTGTTTTTATGAATTTGTGCAAATAGGGTTCTTATTGCAAATCATTTTTTCAAGGAGTTTTTGAATTTTAAATAGATGCAAGATTATGCTCAACACTGTAAAATTATAATTAAAAAATTTAAATTTTCAAAAAATAAACAGCAATTGCTGCTTCTAAATTAGAGATGCAGCATCTTACAAGTATTTGGTATTTAGCCTATACTGCTGAACGCAGAATATTCATTTCGGACGAATAATGGAGGAAGCGTGTGCCGAAGACAAAACTTAATTCGTTTACATGCATCTTTATTTTTTTCCCCTCGGGAAGGGTTTATTCGATTAACAAAACAATAACGAGGATAAACAAATTTGTGATGGGTCCGATTAAAGAAAAAATTCAATTGCTAAATCAATTTTTAATAATCTTAGATTTTTACTTTTCATGTTAGATCCAGTCATGCTAACTATAATTTCATGCAATTTGATTACATCAATACCATACCTGCCAACTTTTAATCTTTTCAAGGATGGTTTCTTTAAGTGGTAGTAAAATTAAAACTGAGTTACAATTATATAAAGAAATATATTCTTTAGTTTTAAAAGTTTAAGCTTCACCAAGGTATGGTCGTTTCTTGTTTTTTTTTTTAAAAAAACAAAAACTGGGCTCCTGTGCTGCGCAGAAGATCGATATCCCATTCATCGTGAAATTACAGAAAAATTAAAAAATATAAACAGTTTGTATACAGAGTCTCTGGTGTGACTATTAGAACCAAGATATGATTATCATACTCAGAGATGCCAACTTGCTCCGCTTTGTAAAATAGTATTTTCTACTAGTAGCGAAATTTAAGTTACTTTTAGTTTAGTATCTTTCATTTTAAGTAATTTTTTTACCACTAAATAAAAAAAATTATAAGCATCATATAAAATGTAACGCTAATTTAAAAAACTACTGGTTACTCTATTAAAAAGTAGGCGTAACTATCCTTCTTTACCGAATTTTACTACATAATTTGCTACCACTTTATTAAAACTATTCCAGAAAGCGGAGCATTTGGCATTTTTCTTCTTTTCTTTACTTAGCAAAAACTGGGCTGCGTAGCGGCCAGTATCCCATTCATCATTAAATTACATACAGTAAGGTAAAAAACATTGATTTGGCAAACATTGTGGTAGCCATAAAAAATCAAGCCGTTTGCTTGTGAAATAATAAAACAATGAAAAAATTCAATATGACAAATTGACGTTTTTACATAACACTAGAAATATTGATTGTAGACTTAAATTAAAAATAAAGATAAAACATGATTTGATATGTACAATAATTGATTTTTGAAAAATGAAAGACATAATTGATGAATATAGATAAATCATACCTTGATACATCATAAAATAACATATTTGGAGAAAGTTAATGTAGTGGTGGTCAAAATTATTTTAAATTAAATTTATAAGTTCAAGAAATAAATAGAAAGCATGTATTTCACTACCACTTAAAGTATAAAAATAAAATTTGTTACATATGGCATAAAAATTGGCAGCTATGCAATACTTAATTCCAAATTTTAAAACTTTAATTTTTCAGGCATTTGGTGCAGTTGAAGCTATGTCTGATAGAACTTGTATTCATAGCAATGGCAAAGTTAAAGTAGAGATTTCTGCAGAAGATCTTCTATCTTGTTGTGATAGTTGTGGCGACGGGTTTGTATAGTTTTCCCACATTTAAAAAAATAAATAATAATTCAATAAAAAAATAACGTCTTTTTAAGTGAATTTTTACTGGCAGTGTTATATTTAAGGCTATGCATTCAAAACATTTAAATGAATATATTTAAAATATCTTAATCATTTGTTCTTTTAAGTTCACGTTCATAAAATTACATTATCATATCTTTTGGAATTGTTGTGTGCATGGAATTCTGTTTTTACATTTTATCCCTGTTTTTATATAAATATTGTTCCCAAAGTGAATTCTCAAAGCATTTTTTTTTTTTTTTTTTAGAAATTTTTACTCTGATAAAAAATCTATTTTAAATGGCTTAAGTTTTAATTTTGTTTCTTGTTATGCATGCACATAAAATTCTAGTTTCATATTTATTCTATTGAATTGATGAATATGTTTAGTTTGGTTTTTATTTATAATTAGAAGCTGATTAATAATTAAAGCAAAGTTCCTTCTATATTTTTATTTGCTTTTAAAAACATGGTAATAGAATCCTATCTGTGCAACTACTTGTTAGAGGGTGAAGTTCATACCACAAGAAAGTTTTTTTTTCTTGTTTTATGGATGTTTATCTAAAAGATCATTTTATTTTTAAATGCTGTCTTGTTTTATGTGTGTAGAAATTTCTTCAATTCCTTTGCTTTTCACTTACAGTGGCGCTCACGTACTTAAGGACACGTCTTTATGAAAAGTAAAATCCAAAATTTATTGTACACGCATAAGTTTATTGAATTGATAATTATGTATTGGAACAAATAACTTATTTTTAATATATTTTCACATTGAAAATCATTTATCTAACCGTTATACTTGAATTATGTAACATTTTAGAAAAAATATGCATTCCGCATACTTAAGGACAACAAAATAAATATTTCTTAATCGTTAATGAAATTAATAACAATGTAAAAAATTTAACAAAAAATAAAGATTTGGAGCTAGTATTTAGTCGGTAAGCCTTTTGCGGCAATTACTGCTTCATATTTACGAGGCATCGAATCTACTAATTTTTGACATCGCTCAGGAGGTATATCTGCCCAGCCTTCTTGGACACCTTTCCCTAAATCACCTAAATTTTTTGGTTTTTGCTGTTTCACATATTTATCCACATCTATCCACGGCATCTCGATCGGATTGAAAACTGGCGGCTGGAAAGGCCACTGCAAAACCTCAATTTTCTTGCTTGACAAGAAGGCCTTCGTAGTTTTGCTCGTGTGCTTTGGATCATTGTCGGCTTACATGATTGGTTTTCTTGAGCGAAGTTTCCTGTAATAGGGAAGAAAAACAGTCTTGATAATGTCCGCATACACATGCTGATCCATGATGCCTTCGATTTTGTGAATTGGACCACATCGTGAACCCCACACCATCACCGAGCCGCCTCCACCTTTTACAGTTGAATTTGTACACCGTACATTAAATTCCTCACCGACTCGACGCCTCACATAACTTTTGCCACCTGAGCCCATTCTGTTGAACTTCGATTCGTCTGTAAATATAACTAGATTCCAGTCAGCCGATGTCCAGTTTCGGTGTCTTTTTGCAAAAGCTAATCGAGCTGCTATATTCTTCTTTGACATCAACGGTTTTTTCCTACATACGCGACCCATAAGCCGAAACTCATTTAAATGCCGTTTGATGGTATTATTGCTTACGTGCTTGCCTGCTAATTCAGGGAATTCTTTTCTGTTGTCAGGGGCGGTTTTACGACGATCAGCTTCAGAAATTCGATGAATAATTCGATCTTCTCGTTCGGTAGTTTTGCAAGGACGTGGTTTTTGGGATGCTTTTTCAATACTTTTGGTCACTTGAATAGATTTCAAGGCTTGTAAAACTGCTGTTTTTGATAATTTTAACCGCCTACCTAACGATTCATCTAACGATATTCGACATCTCTGTTCATTGCTAACATTTTTTTTCTTTACTCATAATAATGTTGAAATTTGTACTAAAAAAAGAAGAAAAAATATTAATATAATGTTTTAAAGCATCAAACAAAGATAATGCGGTAAATTACACTTACATTGATCGATAAATTGATTGTAATCATTCAATAACTCATGATTAGACAAACTGTCCTTAAGTATAAGAAACTTAACAAAATACTATATTTTTTAAATAAACTTTTATGAAACACTTGTGATCACGAATGAATTATTTGAGGATTGAAGTTCAACTAAGGTAAAATTCGTCATTATAGATATCTTGATCAAAGCATAATATTCATCCAATATAATGACGCATTTATTTTGGAAACACAGTCCTTAAGTACGTGAGCGCCACTGCATATTTGCTTCAATGACATGCATTTTAAAATCGGTTTCATGGATTTCTTTTCAATTTTTTTATTTTAAAGTGAATGCCTGATATATGAATTTAATTTCTGTTTTAAGCTACATTTCAGAAAGATAATTGTTTAAGTAGAATAACTTGTGAAAATAAGTATTGTACTCCAATGCTTTTCTCTTGAAAGTCCACTATTTAAAATTTTGAAATTTTATAAACTATTTTAAAAGTCTCAACTTTAAATATATTGATATTCTGCTTGCAGTTTCAACTGTTTGTTTTGTTTTTTCCTCCCGTTAAAAGCAAGATACATTTTGTTTTGATTGTTTGCTTCTCATCCTATCTTGAGAACTTAAAATAGAATATAAAACTTTTTTGTTTTTACCATAATATTTTATTAAATATGATAAGCAGTAACTTCATCTTGTTTCAGTTTATTGATTTGATTGTTTCATAAACTAATTAAGAAAATGCTTTTGCTTTTACATAAAGGAGTAAAGTTCAAAATTTTTGTTTCCTGCTTTTCAATTGCTTAACTTGTATTTTGGTAAAAGCGTGCTGTGTTCTGCTTAACTTGTTTGCTTTTTTTACACTTTTGAATAATTAAGATATCTATATGGCTTCAATTATTAGTATAGCTAAATTCATTCAATTTTAATTTATTTAAAGATTAATTGATTAATCACTTGTTAAAAGATGGTTCCGTTTTTAAATTAAAGAGAATGTCCAAAATTTTCTGGTGCTATGCTTTCAAACGATTGCTATTCGTTAACAACAAGCTACATTTTTGCCTCTTTTTTTTTTTAACTTGAACTAAATCTAGAACTTATCTGATATTAGTATTTTATTGAATATTCATAACTTCTAATTTCATTCTGTTTCAATTGATTGATTTCAGTGTTCTATTAACTATAACTTAATGTTTCGATTTTTTTTAAGAGTATAATGTCTGAAATTTGTTTCCCAGGTGCAATGGTGGGTACCCTGGATCTGCTTGGGAATACTGGGTTGACAAAGGTCTTGTTTCCGGTGGTCTTTACAACTCACATGTCGGTTGCCAACCCTACGTCATTCCTTCCTGTGAGCATCATACTAAAGGAAAACTACCTCCCTGTGGAGATATTGTTGACACTCCCAAGTGTGTACACATGTGCGAAAAAAGCTACCATGTCAGTTACAGAGCAGACAAACATTTTGGTAATAATTGGTTTTGAATAATTTTTAATCTGTGTTTTTGCACTTCTTGTTCAGTGACCCAATTATTTTACACAATTCAGCTTCATAGCTCAACAAAAAGTTTTTTTTTTCCCTTTAAATCTCCTTAACACTTCGCCGTCCGAAGGAATCAGAACAATCTCCATGATACTGAGGATTGATTGTGTACAGATAGTTCACAAAATGGGGAAATTTCCTTGATTAGCCAGAAAAGTGTTAAGAAATTTTTTTGTATTATGCATAATCACTATAATAATTAAAAAATACATAGTATTCATTTATTCAAATCATTTTTTAAACGTACTTATAGAGAATAATTGAGACAAATTTATGAACTATTAAGTTACTTAACCTTTTAATGTATAAAAAATGTTGAGGAATCAATACTAAATATATAAATCTTTTAGGTTTTTTTTGTAATTTTTAAACATATTGATGTATTGATTTTTCTAATTAATAAACTTTTCATGCATAACTTTTCTATGAGTTTTATAGATGAATGTTAAATAATAAAGTTAAAATTGATAGTGGAAAATCTAAAATGAACTAACTGTACCATTAATTATTCTTATAAAAAGGAATATGTTTGGTTTATAACTGTGTAATTTTTACAGTACAAATTTATGTGCTTTAAGCAACTCTTAATTCAAAATAATACTTAATAGCTTTAGTGTTTTTATACTTTGTACAATAGTTACTTAATAAGCTTTTTGTCTACTCTTTTCTTTTCAAGTTTCTTTATTTTTCATATTTATAAAAGAATTTACTTCAGATAAGCTCTCATCTCTAAATTTTCCTCTCTTAGGTTTAGTTTTTGAAGTTCAGCATTGTTACTCGTTTATAGCTACTAGTATAATTATTAACCTTGTTGCTAGTTTAATAATATCATGTTTTATAATTAGTTCCACTGGGAGGGAATAACTTAAAATAATTACCAAACCATTAATGTTTAATATTATTGAAAGAACACTTTCACTACTCAAATTTATGTATTTAAAGTGATTCGTATTTGAATTTAATTTGTACTTTGTAAATGTAATGCTTTAATACTTACTGAATTATTTGCTTTATTTATGCCTAAAAAGTTTTCTTTATTTTCATTATTTAGGAAAGAAATCTTACTCTGTTCGGAACAACGAAGACCAAATAAAAACTGAATTAGTAACTAATGGGCCAGTGGAGGCTGCTTTCACTGTTTATTCTGACTTTGTTACTTACAAATCAGGTATAAAAAATTTTATTTATGTGTTTAATATTTCATTTTAAAGATGATACTAAATGGATAAAATATCCGACCCAGAATTTGCAGAATTTTCGAAAATAACGTTACTAGTGTTAACAAAGTTAATGTATCAATATTTCAAAAAATTAGAATTAAAATAATTTAATCACTACATACAATTAACAATTTAAATGCATAGATAAAAGGTCAGATTGGCAAATGATCATGATCTTAAATTGTGATAAGAAAATTATCAGAATTCTATTTGTTTGAGAACCTTCTGCTTTGGCTCCCTTACTACTGGATTAATATTTTGTACATATTTCAAATGTTGAAGGGTATGTAGTATTTAAGGAAAAAGAAATCAGTGTGATAAAATTCCAAGCTTTATTCTGAAAACTCATAAAAGTTTGGGTCAAAATCGTACTACAAACAGCTGTAAGAATATAGCATTATTTTCTTCTACATATGAGACAGTTTAAAATATGAATTGTAAACAGCTTCCTATTCTTGCTATATTTATTAAACCTTTTCTTCCAAAATTCACTAAAAGGATTTTTATCTAGTACTTTCGTCCACTAAGCTCTTTACGTATAATGTTTTAAAGCATCAAACAAAGATAATGCAGTAAATTACACTTACATTGATCGATAAATTGATTGTAATCATTCAATAACTCATGATTAGACAAACTGTCCTTAAGTATAAGAAACTTAACAAAATACTATATTTTTTAAATAAACTTTTATGAAACACTTGTGAACACGAATGAATTATTTGAGGATTGAAGTTCAACTAAGGTAGAATTCGTCATTATAGATATCTTGATCAAAACATAATATTCATCCAATATAATGACGCATTTATTTTGAAAACACAGTCCTTAAGTACGTGAGCGCCACTGTA